TGGCCCCATAGAAGAAATCTAATGGCGTCAAATCAGGAGATCTAGCAGGCCATCCGTCTTGCTGGAAATATATTTCAGCCTCGTCAAGTATGGGGTCTCCGTACTCGATTTGGTTTTCAATGGTTTAGGTAATAAGCGGATTGATGGTATTTTCCAGCATATCCAAATACATGTCTCCATTTAAATATATAATAAACAATAACACGTGCCATCCAACTGATACTGTAGATAATGTGGAGGCTATTAGGAAAGATGAAATCTCGAAGGGTTTTTCAATAGTTGATAAATTTTCAAGTTCTTCCAAATCAGTCAGTGATTTAAAAAAAAACATAGCTATGGTGTTGCCATTTATTAATAGAATTAAAAGAATTCCGTCCTAATCGAAAATCATCGGTCCAGTTTTTTGTTAGTCGACTTTGTGTTTCCTTTCACTATCGTTTAAGACCAATTTCAGCAACAATCTCACCGACTTAGTAAGTAATTATTTTCCTCCAAATTGTTAATTGTTGCTATTTTTCAAAAATTGTTTTTTAGCTCCAGACGATGATGGCATAGACCATCGAAAGCTCGAGTTCAAGTTGTAAGAGTGTACTTATTCAAAATTTTGCCTTCAACACAAAGAAATTTAAGGATATTTTCTCCTAATAGTTGAGGCAATTAACTATGAATTCTATATATACAGGGTGACTTTGAAGTTGAGTCATTAATTTTCAGATAATGATTGTAGAAGGAAGATAAACCAAAATATGTGTGTAAAAATAAAAAAAAAATTTACCTTGTTTTATAAAGTATGCTCCCGACAAGTATTTCAGTGCGGACCTGTATTTGATCGTGAGGTCTTGGAGCACCGGCATGCCGTCGCCTGTGAGGTCTTAAGTCACCTGATTCACGAGCCCGTTGTACTACATTAACAAAGGCATGAGGGGTTGGTTGCACTCGATTGGGAAACCGATCCGCATAAACATGTGCCATTTTTGATTTCGTTTGAGCCACGCAACAGACACTACTATTCGCTCACGCGTTACCGACTGACACTGACTGTATACAACGGAATAAAATAATTGTAAAAACATCGTTCCAAATTCGTTCGCTTTTTTGTTTCCGATGCGATGAACCGATAAGGCGGATTATATCCGTTGTTGCTAAACACGAGCACATAATATTACGATTGAGACAGGGCGGTATTCAAACTTCCAAAGGGCTATAACTTTGTTACTTTAATTTTACCAGAAAAATGGTAAAGGAAAAAACATTTCTTTTGATCAGATCTACTCACTGTTAAAATAAATGACTCAACTTCGAAGTCACCCTGTATATATATATATATATAGGTGAAAAATAAAGCTTCCGTCTTTAGTTGGGTACTTCGACAAAACTCAAGCAATCTCTTTATATTTTGTCTCTAGATTTTAATGATATTTGCCATCTTCATCAGGAGCTGCAATAACATTGAGAAGAAATTATTGCAGCTCCTGATGAAGATGGCAAAGTCCATTGAAAGCTAGAGACTAATAGAGTATAAAGAGTTCTCATTGCTTGAATTTTGTAGAAGAACCCAACTAAAGTCGGAAGATTTATTTTTCACCTAACTGGTCTAGACGACAGTGACCACGTCTCAAGTTATATATATATAATATATAGAAGTAACCTTGTGTGAAAATTTCATCAAAAATCCGACCGATACTTTCGAAGTTATAGAAAGGGTTAATGATTCTATGACAGAGAGACCGACGGAAATGAGTGACATCCAAAAAACAAAACATCTTGTCGAACTTTTTACAATACTTCCTTGCCGCACAATATCGACCGTGTGCTCCAAAATGCATTTGACATGTTACGATTCTTCCTAAGCAGTCGGTTCCGTGAGTTTCAGAACACCGCGAACAGTAAACTAATCGAACTTTCTTGTTGTATAGTTATATTAATGGATGACAAGGGCTCGTGTGCTCTTAACAGCCTAAGACAAACGATACACCTGTATTTCATCTAACTTTTTTGTTAGAGACTCTAACGAGATCACTTCGGAAAGTATTAACTCGCCTCCTAAAACTACCTTCCGTATACAACGGCCACAAAATTTGGCGTGTATTTTATGTTTAAAGTTGGGCAATAATCATTAATTGTGGTTAATTCGGCGTGCGACACTTCGAGGCGAGGCGAGGAGACCACGAGGGTAAATCCCGAAGGGCTTTAGACCTTCGGTCGACTCTCGCTCCTTCTGCATGAACCAGAGACCCGATATCCCACTACCCTAAAGGCCCAACGTTACCACACCTAATTATGCCATTTTTAAGATTTTGCTTAGCTGACTGTCATTTCAGAAAACTTCTGTTTGGCTACACGGATTTCGACGATCTTGACTTTTATAGTATAGTATTTAACAACGCTCCTAACTAATGCTCAACCTTGCCAGACTCATCCAGATCGTGGCCGCTAGATGGCGTTTTGTGGATGTGTCAACGCTTTTTTGGATGTCTTCGAAAATTTCAGAAACAATGACTCCATTTTTTTTATGTGTCAGAGAGTGCATAAAAAGTGCTATAAAATGGTTGAAACTGAAGATCAATATCTGTATTTGTTATAGTTAGATGGATCGATAGATTTTTTTAATTTGCTTAAACCTCATTTTCATGTCTTAGCATTGTCAGATTATGGAGCACAGCAATTGAAATGCATTCCCATTAAGCACAAAACAAATATACTAAGTGACATGTAAATCCGAACACCCGGTTTAAATGGTTTTATTTTAATAAAAGTTGGTGAATGCATTTATCTTACTGTAAATAACAAGTGAAAAAATTTTCAGCCTTATCAGTTGGACATTCCGGTTTTTATACTGCTTTTTTTTTAATTCACTAACGCTCTAAAAATGAATATTTCAGCCGCAGTAAAGAATCAACGTTGGCGGATTTTGGTTCCTGAGATCCTTTACGATCGGTTATGATGCCTAGAGTACGGAGACCTGTACGATTTCGTCAACTTAGTGAGTTTGATAAGGGCCGTATAGTGGGACTTCGGGAAGCTGGAATTTCTTTTCGGGCAATTGCAGTTAGAGTGCAAAGAAGTGTAGACACTGTGGTTAGGTGTTGTCAGGCATGGCTTCGAGAAGGCCGTACGCAAAGAGCAAGGGGCACTGGACGCCGCCGTAGAACAACAGACCGTGAAGATCGCTGCCTAAGATTATTGGCTTTAAGGGACCGTTTCTCCACTACCAGGTCCATTGCAAATGAATGGTTTGCAGAACACGGAAGACCTATTGGCATGCGAAGTGTTTACCGACGAATGAGAAGTTTTGGCTTGTTTTCATACCGGCCACACTGGGTCCTCCCTTTAACTCGAGAACACCGACGTAATCGCCTTCAGTGGTGCAGACAACGGTCACTCTGGGATCAGGAATGGAACAGTATTGTCTTTAGTGACGAGTCTCGATTTTGTTTGGGCATGCACGATGGTCGTGCCAGGGTTAGAATGCGACGTGGTGAAAGGAGGAATCCACAGTTTTTTGTTGAAAGACATGTTCATCACACTGTTGGAGTTATGGTTTGGGGTGCTATAGCTTATGGTTCCAGGTCACCTTTAATTTTCATCAGAGGTAACATGAACGCGCAGCGTTATATCCACGAAGTTCTAGAACCCCATCTTTTACCCTATCTTGACACCCAGGCAGATCCAACTTTCCAACAAGATAATGCCCGACCACATGTTGCAAGAGTCACAATAGACTTCTTTCAACATAATGATGTCACATTGTTACCATGGTCACCAAGATCTCCCGACTTACCCCAATTGAGCACGTGTGGGATATGATGGGTAGGAGATTGCTCAATTTGCAACGTCCTCCTCAGACTCTAGAAGCACTTCGAGAGGAGTTGGTGGTTGCCTGGAATGAGATACCACAGGAGGACATTGAACACCTGATCAGAAGCATGCCTAGGCGCGTTGGAGAATGCGTAGCACATCAGGGTGCATCCACACATTATTAAAGGTCAAAGGGCTTTGAAGCAGTGCAATCATTTTGAAATATTTATCATTTACTTATTATGCTTCATTAAGTACTTATACAAAATTTTATTGAAATAAAACCATTTAAACTGGGTGTTCGGATTTATATGTCACTTAGTATACAATAGACTACAACGAAGTTGATTATCTAAAATTATAAACAGCTCTTTAGAACATCTCTCTTTCACTACTCTTGTTTACTTAGTGAACCAACACATGCAACTACAATGTGTTGGGTGAGTATATTCGTCAATAGTATAGGAAGATGTTACACCATTTTTTAGTTCCACTCCAATGCCATGAAAAGCAGGGATTCTCATCCTCACTGAAAGGTGATTGTACAGTCTCATTGCCATAGTTATATAAATCCTATGATTAATGCCTGTATTGAGGAGTAATTAATAGATCCCTGTTTCTTGTATTGGGAGAGTGAGCATCTTAATGAGTCTTTAGCTCAGTGTATTCTTACCCATAACAAGCAGCGGAATATATACAGTGTACAGGATGTCTCAAAAAAATAACGTTCTTTTTTCAATTTCTAATTTTGCAGTGCTCGTTTATTCAGACACTGACAAGCTGCTAGAATTTTATCGACATGAATTGATCGAAGAAGTTGCTCGAGATGACTATCGAAAATTAATAGAACTTTCAGTAATACTCCTTGACGGAGATTCAGAGAAAAACATTAAGATTCGACCGCCAGGCGCCACGTATCATGCTCGATAGATGGCCAGAGCGATCTCTTCATTAAAAATATCGTTACTAAGTTCCCATCTCAAACTTTCTAATAAGGATAAAACAGCTCTATTGGATATCTCCTTGTTCGTTGTGACAACATTTGATTTGATTTACCCTGTACAACTTGCAAACTGTGGCCACAATCAAGAACTCATAATCAATAAAAATTAAAAAAAGTATGACCATCCAAATTTGACCAAAACATTGCTTGTTGCGTTTATTTTGAACCTGACTGTACTTCAAGGAACACCCTGACTCACCTGAATTAGTCGTAGTACCGCTACCGGTACCCGTTGACGCCTGCGTAGTCCCGTTTCCGCTGTTACCGCCTCCCAACAAAACGTCGATGCTGCCATCTGACAGGATGTCGGTGTCCTGATAGGATATAGAGAAGGTAGCGTCGTCTTGCAACCGCGCTAGAACCGCCGCTAAGCTGTTCTTGTCCAGATCATCGGGTTCCTTGAGCTGGAGGGTAACGTTGCCGTCGGATGCAGTACTGTACATGAACACAGCATGACCTCCTCCCGGGTACGGTTGCAGTGGTAGACGGAGACCTGTCAGCTCGTGATGGACGCCCTGTAAGAGAAATAGTATATAAGATACTTAGGTTGAGGAGGAGCGTAGCATGGTTTCGTTTGGAATTCGAAGGTTACCGCAGTGCCTCTGGTACAAGGCTGCGAAGGTGAATGTCGATAAAGTAGAGCAGTGGTTGCCGACCTGTCGATAGCGAGCTACCGGTAGCTCGAAAAGGCAATTCTGGTGGCTCACAACATATTTTAAAAAGTTGTAAAAATTATAGAAGCTTCCGCGAATTTCGTAAATTCTCAAAATAAACACAAGCAGCGGCAACACTGCGGTCAGCGATCTGACGATTGGTTATGAGTAGATGTAGTTGATACTTAATAACTAATACTACTGTATGTATTAGTTATCAGTTTATTTAAGTTTATTAGTGTCTATTAGTATTAGTAAGGTAAACACATCTATGTCGCATACAACTGTGTATAATTTCATTTAAGTTGGCTTACATTGCTTACAGGTAGGTAGCTCACTGTTTATCATATGATTGTTACTTCCCACGCCTTCTGGGCAGAATGTGGAGTAATCGAGAAAAAAAAATGTTCAATGTTCATTCGGATATTATACTAAGTGACATATAAATCCGAACACCCAGTTTAAATGGTTTAATTTTAATAAAATTTGGTGAATGTATTTATCTTACTGTAAATAATAAGTGAAAAAATGTTCAGCCTTATCAGTTGGACATTCCGGTTTTTATACTACTTTTTTTTTAATTCACTAACGCTCTAAAAATGAATATTTCAGCCGCAGTAAAGAATCAACGTTGGCGGATTTTGGTTCTTGACATCCTTTACGATCGGTTACGATGCCTAGAGTACGGAGACCTGTACGATTTCGTCAACTTAGTGCGTTTGATAGGGGCCGTATAGTGGGACTTCGGGAAGCTGGACTTTCTTATCGGGCAATTGCAGTTAGAATGCAAAGAAGTGTAGACACTGTGGTTAGGTGTTGTCAGGCATGGCTTCGAGAAGGCCGTACGCAAAGAGCAAGGGGCACTGGTCGCCGCCGTAGAACAACAGACCGTAGATCGCCGCCTAAGATTATTGGCCTTAAGGGACCGTTTCTCCACTACCAAGTCCATTGCAAATGAATGGTTTGCAGAACACGGAAGACCTATTGGCATGCGAAGTGTTTACCGACGAATGAGAAGTTTTGGCTTGTTTTCATACCGGCCACACTGGGTCCTCCCTTTAACTCGAGAACACCGACGTAATCGCCTTGAGTGGTGCAGACAACGGTCACTCTGGGATCAGGAATGGAACATTATTGTCTTCAGTGACGAGTCTCGATTTTGTTTAGGCATGCACGATGGTCGTGCCAGGGTTAGAAGGCGACGTGCTGAAAGGAGGAATCCACAGTTTTCTGTTGAAAGACATGTTCATCACACTGTTGGAGTTATGGTTTGGGGTGCTATAGCTTATGGTTCCAGGTGACCTTTAATCTTCATCAGAGGTAAGATGAACGTGCAGCGTTATATGCACGAAGTTCTAGAACCCCATCTTTTACCCTATCTTGACACCCTGGCAGATATAACTTTCCAACAAGATAATGCCCGACCACATGTTGCAAAAGTCACAATAGACTTCTTTCAACATAATGATGTCACATTGTTACCATGGCCACCAAGATCTCCCGACTTATCCCCAATTGAGCACGTGTGGGATATGATGGGTAGGAGATTGCTCAATTTGCAACGTCCTCCTCAGACTCTAGAAGCACTTCGAGAGGAGTTGGTGGTTGCCTGGAATGAGATACCACAGGAGGACATTGGCCACCTGATCAGAAGCATGCCTAGGCGCGTTGGAGAATGCGTAGCACATCAGGGTGCATCCACACATTATTAAAGGTCAAAGGGCTTTAAAGCAGTGCACTCATTTTGAAATTTTGATCATTTACTTATTATGCTTCATTAAGTACTTACTATACAAAATTTTATTAAAATAAAACCATTTAATCTGAGTGTTCGGATTTATATGTCACTTAGTATATTTTATCAAATCTGAAGTATCGAATGTAAATAAGACAAAGCCTAAAACGCTGCCGGGTGGAACACCAACATTTACAGATCATAGAATGAATACTTTATCACGCATTATTACATATTGAAATCAATTAGACAGGCATTTACTAAACCACAGTCAAATCATAATGATGCAGTTTTTCACACAAAATGCTGTGGCTCACCTTGCTGAAGTCTAACATCTATAGATTTCACAATATGACTGAAAGTTTTAATAAGATCCATAGATGTATCCCTAAACCCAGACCGGATGTCGGGCATAGTTTGCTGTGTTCTAGATGCTCATGATGTTCGTCATCTGCAATTTTCTCTAACAGTTTGCACATTGAAGAAAAAGCTCTTATTGGTCTGAGGTTCTTAAAATCCTTATTGACTTTCGCAAGCGGTGTTAGGACTGCCTTTTTCCAGAAAGATGGTACTTCCCCGTACTCAGTGATCGGTTGATGATATTTGTTAGTTGAAATTCGCAAAAAGAGTAGATGTTTCTCAATATATTTTTGGTGATACCATAAACACCCTTTGCCTTTACTTCTTTCAATTTCTGTTCAATTTGGTCTGACGTAATAAGATGAAACGAAGACTGGCATACCATTGAGTTCTTCTGTTCCGAAAATGTGCCAAGAAATAACTCAACCGGTAGCAGGTTTGCTAGACAGTTAACAAGGTTTATATTGAAGCATTCGTTTCGTATTTTTTAGCAACTACAAATACAGTACAGAGAGCTACAAGACAGCCATGGAGAGTCGTCGAACAGTCAATGTGTTTACTGCTCGGCTTCCCTTCATCACTTGTTATTTTCATAAATCAAGAACTCAATACGCCTCCGTAAACATCGCACTACAACTTAATTGGCTGCCTCCACTGAGTTTTAGCTTAGCTTACAGTCGCATGGCGAACATTGAGGGAGTAGGACGAGGCATGAGAGAGCTCCATGGAGGAGAACTTTCCTCCAACTCTATTAGCATCTTTAGCGTTTTACCCCGGTTAATAAACTTTCATAACTTTGGTTGTAATTGAATTAAAGTGAAGTATGCCAGAGGATGGGGGAACGGAAAGATGATGCTCAATATTCCGGATAGGTTGGATTTAATGCTATTCTCCATTTACGTAATCATGTACTAACAATGCACTGAGATAGTAGGTAAAAAAAATAAACATCTTTATTCATTGCAAGCAAGATACAAATAAATGAATTGACTGAAAAGGTGGAGTCCAGCTTTGATTCCTGGAGTAACAGCTGGTCTTCCACTTAGCCCTACATAACGCAGTTAACTAACTTATCTTAATTCAAGTTTGAAAGGAGATGATATAAGAATAAGGTAAGATACAGGAGTAATATTCAACTAAGTAGTAGTTAGTAGCAGTTTTAAAACACCATACCTAATAGATACAAAAGATAGGAAACATTGACAGAATATGAACCGAAAGAGAAAGAAAAAATACAATGAGAGTTAATGCAGTCATATATACTGAGTGACAGAAAAAGGTCAACACCTGCGTATGTTTATCCGATCTTAATATATTTTGGCGTATATGTTCAGTGTCCCTTTCAGCTTGATTCGTCAGCTGACTGCAGAAACTGATATAAAGTGATAAACATTAGTGTAATTGTGTCTAAATATAGGATTTGTGGAAGATTTGGCGCAGATAAGTTCAGTTTTCCATCTTAAAAATCAGAAGTGCAAGTAAACAAAATGACTGTAATGTGTTAATTATATATTATTCACTTCGTCTATGCAATACATAAGAAATAGTTTGCTTGCAATAAAGTAGAACCACGTAACAGAATAGTTGTATAGTTGACAAAAACTGAATCTTGCACTGACGCAAATGTCCTATAGCGGCTGCAAGAGGCTTGCACTTTTGTTGTATAACTGTTACCTGTAGCCTTTATACAACCTCTTAAATGACTGAAATGTCCTATTAGGTGTGCCCATTCCGCTTTTATAGCTGTTCTAAGAGGGTTTTGCCAATGTTCTTACAGTATACAATGCTGTGTAAGGAATGGTGTATAATCATTCTTGCAACTCTAATAGGAGCGATAATTGTTAGTTGGGTGACATGACCTGCGAAACTTATCATGATTATTTGCCGTTAGTCAAGAAAGATTTGCATCATTTGTAGTTCAGCAATTTTGGTTTTAGCAATCATTTATTAGATTTCATTTCTTCTTACTTGCATGATAGAAATCAGTACGTTTCTTACAATGGTTTCAAATCTTCACCTTACTCGGCCTCATCCGGTGTACCGCAGGGATCAAATTTAGGACCCCTTCCCTTTCTTAATTTTATCAATGACCTCCCTAACTGTTTAACCTGTCATTCTCTGTTGTTTGCCGATGATTTAAAAATATATGCTCAGATTAACAGCATTGATGACTGTCTAATCGTGCAAGCTGACCTGAATCATATATTTGAATGGAATAATAAATTATTTTTGAATGTTAGCAAATGCAAAACCAGGAAAACGAATCCGATAGTTTTTGATTACACAATGGAAGCTGTCAGTTTGGTGCGTTGTTCAGAAGTAAGAGATCTAGGTGTGTTGTTTGATGTTGAATTAAAATTTACAGGTCGTATTAGTACAACAGTATCATCCGCTATAAAAAGTCTCTATTTTTTGATAAGAAAGTGTAAATCGTTTGGTAGTGAAATGGTATTGAAGGCTTTATACTGCACATTGGTGCGTTCTAAGCTGGAATATGCATGTAGTGTATGGCATCCATATTAACAAATCTATATTAATGAAATTGAAAGTTTACATAGGAGTTTTCTTAAATACTTGACTTTCAAATTAGATGGTATTTATCCCAGTCGTGGGACTCCCCAATCAGCGATGTTGCTCAGTTTTGAAATGCATCTTTTTGAGCTGAGAAGAGTTTGTAATAATTTAGAATTCCTTTACAAACTTGTACACAGTAATGTTGATTCTTCAGCTTTATTAGCTAAAATTGATTTTCATGTACCGTCCCGCAC